TGTTGAGATTTTGAGAAAAGTGCAGAGAAGAGCAACTCAAAGGCCTGCAGACAAAAAACGTGAAGAACGGTTGCAGGATATGAGTTTGGCCAGTCTAGAGAAAAGAATGGGAAAAGGGGGGACATAATGGCTGTATTTCAATATTTGAGGGGCTGCCACAGAGAAGAAGGGCTCGACCTGTTCTCCAAAGGTCAGAGGGCAGGACAAGAAGGAGTGAATGGAAGCTAATCCAGGAGTGAAGCAACCTGGAATTAAAGAGAAACTTCCCCACAGTGAGGACAATTAACCAGCGGAACAGCTTGTCACCAGAAGGTGTGGGTGCTCCATCATTGGAGGCTTTTAAGAAAAGACTGGACAGCCACCTATCTGAAAGGGTACAGGATCTCCTGCTTGAGCAGGAGGTTGGACTAGAAGACCTCCAAGGTCCCTTCCGGCTCTATTCTAATTGACCCCCAAAGGGAATCAGATTGGACCATTGATCACATCGCCCAGTCAGTGCTTCCCACGCCCCATAAATGACTTAGGAAGCATGGAAAGCATCTTTCCAGAAAGAACAGAGTGGACTGCTGTTCCCTGATGCGATGGAGGAGATCGGGAAACTGCAGCAGGCTTGGATGAACACCTGCTCAGAGGTTTTGACCTGGCATTGGGCGCCCACGGAGACAGGCCCCAAATCCCTGTTAATGCAGCCTCTAGCTAGAAAAACAGGAAAGTCCACCTGTGGGACAATCACTCTCTGGAGGACGGAGAATCGCCCTAGACACGCAGCCTCGGATTGCCTTGGCTTTTTTGGCAGCTGATCACGCCCCATAAATGACTTAGGAAGCATGGAAAGCATCTTTCCAGAAAGAACAGAGTGGACTGCTGTTCCCTGATGCGATGGAGGAGATCGGGAAACTGCAGAAGGCTTGGATGAACGCCCGCTCAGAGGTTTTGATTGTTCCCCCCCCCCCAGCATTGAGCAGCCACTGAGACAGCCCCACAAATCCCTGTTAATGCAGCCTCTGGTTACAAAAACAGGAAAGTCCACCTGTGGGACAACCACCCTCTGGAGGATGGAGAATCGCCCTAGACACGCAGCCTCGGATTGCCTTGGCTTTTTTGGCAGCTGCAGCACCCTGCTGGCTCATATTCCAGTGATATGAGGGCTTGAGTGATCTTCGTGTTTCTGATTATTTTTAAAAGGATTTTAAGAAGTGTTTGGACAGCCATTTGTTCAGAATGGAATAAGGTCTCTGGCTTGAATAGTGGGTTGGACTTTTCAACCTTTTCACCCATTGTACCACTTTTAGGGTATGGCAACATCCGAGTAGCACCAGTCGCAAGGTGTCAAAAACTTGATGACCAAAAAAAATAAGAAAGAAAGAAAAAAGAAAAAGTGATAAAGTACAAGTAGTCCTCGACTTACAACAATGCGCTTAGTGACTGTTCGAAGTTACAATGGCACTGAAAAAAGTGCCTCCCAAGCCACAGCCGAGCAAGACGCCTGCCCGCCCAGCGGCGCTCTTCCTCATGGTTGTGAGCATTTCTGTTCAGGATTGGCAGCGGGAGTGGGGTGAGGGAGTGTTTGGTTTTTATTCCCCCCCATCTGTTGGGTGGTTGCAGCAGGTATTGGTCACTTGACATGACGCTGGGACACTGTGACCGTCATAAATATGAATCAGTTGCCACGCATCTGAATGTAAATCACAAGACCCTGGTGATGCTGCAACATTCCAGCTGATCGGTGCTTCTTCTGGGCTCAGCAGACGCGCCAGGATCAGCGCCGAGCTCCAACTGGAGCCTGGTGCTAATCCTGGTGCTTCCGCTGAGTCCTGACAGCCCTGAAGAAGGCCGATCAGCTGGAAAGCAGCACTGATCCTCGCGCTTCCGCTGAGCCCCGACAGCCCTGCAGCTCCAGCCGTCTCTCGCTCAGGCTTGTGCGGTGCTGCCACCGGTTCAGCTCATTGCCTTCCCCTGCTACCACTTTTCTTGGATGGTCACGTACCACCTGCCAGGTGCCAATGTACCACAGGTGGTACCCGTACCACTGGTTGGAAAGCCCTGGACTAGATGACCTCCAAGTTCCCTTCCAATTCTGTTATTCTGTTCTTGAAATGCATTAATGGCGGGATAGAATCAAGGACACGTGAAGTGTTAATACCGCTTTATAATGGCTCGGTAAGTGCACACAAATAGTACTCCACCTATGACCACAATTGAGCCCAAAATTTATGTTGTTAAATGAGACATCTATTAAGTGAGTTTTGCCTCATTTTACAACCTGTCTTACCACAGTTGTTAAGCGAATCACTGCAGTTGTTAAGTAACCCTGCAGTTGTTGAGAAACCCGTTGATAAGCGAATCTGGCTTCCCCCGTTGACTTGGCATGTCAGAAGGTCACAAAATGGATCACATGACCCCAGGACTCTGCAACCGTCATAGGTACGAGTCGGTTGTCAAGCATCATGTGAGCATGGGGATGCTGCAACAGTCAGAAGGGTGAAAAATGGTCATAAGGATTAAAACATGTACAAATTATACAGAGCTTGCCCAGAACATTAATTGCGTCCTGCCCTGAGGCCCTCAAGTCTACGCTGAAAAATGTGGAGTAGACAGCATCACCACCAGATGGATCCGTAGCTGGCTGACTGGCCGTACTCAGCGTGTGGTCCTCAATGGAACCGCATCTACATGGAGGGAAGTGTGTAGTGGGGTGCCCCAGGGCTCTGTTCTGGGCCCAGTGCTCTTCAACATCTTCATCAACAATTTGGACGAGGGGATAGATGGGGAACTCATCAAATTTGCGGACGACACCAAGCTGGCAGGAATAGCCAACCCTCCAGAAGACAGGCTTAAGATACAGGAGGATTTGGACAGACTTGAACACTGGGCGCTATCTAACAAAATGAAATTCAGTGGTGAAAAAAGTAAGGTTCTACATTTAGGCAAGAAAAACCAAATGCAGAGGTATAGTCTAGGGCAGGGGTAGGCAACCTTGGCTCTTTTATGACTCGTGGACTTCAACTCCCAGAATTCCTGAGCCAGCATGGCTGGCTCAGGAATTCTGGGAGTTGAAGTCCACGAGTCATAAAAGAGCCAAGGTTGCCTACCCCTGGTCTAGGGGGTACCTTGCTCAATAGTAGTAACTGTGAGAGGGACCTTGGAGTCCTAGTGGACAATCACCTAAATATGAGCCAGCCGTGTGCTGCAGCTGCCAAAAAAGCCAACACAGTGCTAGGCTGCATTAACAGAGGACTAGAATCAAGATCACGTGAAGTATTAATACCATTTTACAATGCCTTGGTAAGGCCACAGTTGGAATACTGCATCCAGTTTTGGTCACCATGATGTAAAACAGATGTTGAGACTCTAGAAAGAGTGCAGAGAAGAGCAACAGAGATGATTAGGGGACTGGAGGCTAAAGCATATAAGGAACGGCTGCTGGAATTGGGTATGTCTAGTTCAGTGATGGCGAACCTTTTAGAGACCGAGTGCCCAAACTGCAACCCAAAACCCACTTATGCATCGTCGGGTGCCGGGTGGGTGTGGCCCATTGGGTGGGTGTGGCCCATTGGGTGGGTGTGGCTGCAGTGGTAACGGCAGACTGGGTGGGACTAAAAAGTCCAATCAATCAATTCTCTGCGAGAAGTTGAAATTGACTGACTGATTGAACCTTTTTTTTTTGCACATGGCAGCGGAAGCCTAAAGCAAAAAGATTTTATAAAACCCAGCTGAAGGCCTAGGACTGGGGCGATGGCGCGCGTGCCCACAGAGAGGGCTCTGAGTGCTGCCTCTGGCACCCGTGCCATAGATTCGCCACCACTGGTCTAGTTTAATGAAGAGAATGAGGGGGGGGGCAGGATAGCAGTGTTCCAATATCTCAGGGGCTGCCAGAAAGAAGAGGGAGGGAGTCAAGATATTCTCCAAGGCGCCGGAAGGCAGGACAAGAACGAACGGATGGAAACTAAGCAAGGAGAGAAGCAACCTGGAACTAAGGAGAAACTTCCTGACAGTGAGGACAATTAGCCAGTGGAACAACCTGCCTCCAGAAGCAATAAATGCTCCAACGCTGGAAGTTTTTAAGAAGAGACTGGACAGCCATTTGTCCGAAATGGTATAGGCCTGAGCAGGGAGTTGGACTAGATCAGCGGTTCTCAACCTATGGGTCGCGACCCCATTTGGGGTCGATCGACCTCTTTTATGGGGTCGCCAAAGGTGGCGATCCGCCATTTTGTCCCCTCCGGGGGCGCGCTGCGCCTCCGGGGGGGCGGTGCCGCGCACGCGCGCTGCGCGTGCCGGCGGCGGCACGCCTCTGGGGGGCGCCGCCGTGCATGCGCGCTGCGTGTGGGGGCGGCGGCGCGCCTCCGGGAACGCCGCCGCACATGTGCGCCACGCGCGGGGGGGGCGCCCCCATGCGCGCCGTGCGCGGGGGCGCCACCGCGCATGCGCGCTGTGCGCGGGGGCCCCCGCCCCCATGCGCGCCGCGCGCGGGGGGTGCCGCCGCGCATGCGCACCGCGCGGGGGGGGGGCGCCCCCATGCGCGCCGCCGCCGCGCATGCGCATAACCTTTGTGTGACGGGGTCGCCGTCACACAAAGGTTAAGAACCGCTGGACTAGATGACCTCTAAGGTCCCTTCCAACTTTATCATCATCATCATCATCATCATCAATAATAACAATTATAATTATCTCCCAGAATTATTATTACCAGGGCACAAAGAGTGGATATAGCTATGTGTTCTTGTTAGTATATCACCTCCTTCCTTCCTTCCTTCCTTCCTTCCTTCCTTCCTTCCTTCCTTCCTTCCTTCCTTCCTTCCTTCCTCCCTCCCTCCCTCCCTCCCTCCCTCCCTCTTGTATTCACTTCCTTCCCTCCTTCCCTCCCTCCCTCCCCATTTCCTTTCAACCTATCCTTTCCTCCCTCCCTCCCTCCCTTTCTTATTCTGTGTCCCCAAGGAGCTAGGCATGTTCACTGGCATAATATGCCAATTGGAGTAGAGTTTGGGAAAGAAGCAGTATTAATTCTGTTAAAAATCTTAATTGCACTTCTTGAAAACTGTCAAACGGATCAAACTTTCCAGAAGTTTGGAAAGTACCCCAAATGGCTGGAGGCTTTCTTGAACAAGCCATGGTGTCATTGTGCTGTCGCCGTGAAAACGGAAAGGCTGGATGGGATTTGGACAAGAAAGGAAGACAAGACGGAACGCCATGATGATCGCTTTATTAAGACTAATCGACTGAATGAGCAAAATGTCGATTCTTCTCAAAGATGAAAATTAGAGAAAACAGAAGCGCCAGGAAAGGCCTCTGTGTATGTCAAGGAACAATTTCAGAAACTCAGAGATGGCGATGTTCGGGACTCCATTGCACCTCTCTGTCAAGAGAATCAAGGCACATTTGGACATCCAAGCTCATAGTATCCCCATGATAAGATGTGATTTTAAAGTAGCAGGTTACCTGGAAGGGAATGAAAGAGAAAAACAAATTTGGAAGGGACTCTAGAGGTCTTCTAGTCCAACCCCCTGCTCAGGCAGGAGACCCTGAACCATTCTAGGCAAGCGTTTGTCCAATCTCTTCTTAAAAGCCTCCAGTGATGGAGCACCCACAACTTCTAGTTGCAAGCAGTTCCACTGGTTAATTGTTCTCACTGACAGGAAATGTCTCCTTAATGCCAGGTTGCTTCTCTCCTTGATGAGTTTCCATCCGTTGCTTCTTCTCCTGCCTGCAGTTGCTCTGGAGAATAGGTGACCCCCCACCCCCATCTTCTTTGGGGCAGCCCCTCATATAGCAAACTCGATCATCAGATCACTTCTAGTCTTTTGAATTGAAATCGCCCATGAAAATAATTGAAATCCGCTTTACAGAGGGGGCCGCCGACTCAGACCAGGCAGGTGTTTTTTAATCAATGAAACTGCAAATATATGATCGGAACCTGGCAGCTCAACTCACCTGCGGATGGCCTGGAAATAGAGGACATTGCTGGATCTTCACGTACGCCATTGTGGTACCGGGCCTCTTTAGACATGCAGTTTTCACCAACGCGACAGTAAGATGGTATACGTTGGGAAAATTCACCTGGATTTTAAAATAAGTAGCATCACCTTTTAATTCATTGGAAAACATGATCAGCCTCATCGGTTGCAAGGCGGAAAGGGACGTTATGCCTCGAGAGCAGCAAAAACATCGTTTCAAGAGGAAACATTTCTGCATCGGATACCAACGGCAAAAACCCATGTCCTTGGCGTCCAGGATAACAGTCCCTCCCTTAGAGCCCCCCCTCAGCTCCCCCCAGCCCCCCCAAACTCTTCTATTGTTTACAGAGCAATCCCAAGTCCTTTGCCTGCTTCACGGACACAACGAGGCTGCCCCCCCCTGCAATTCTCCCCCCCCCCGACACACTTCTGCAATAACTGTTTAAGTATGAACAGTCAGGCCCCTCCTGTCCACGTCCACAGTACTTCCTGGGAAGACTCCCCCCCCCCAAACTGCCTCCCCTCCCACAATTCCCTTCCACTGTACCTTCTAGTAACTCCGAATCGTTTGGCTACTCCAAGGCTGCCCCCCCATCCCCACAAAAACTCCCTCCTAGCCCCAGACACACACCGGTGATTGAGCGTACACAACTTGCAGCTTTTTAAAATAGGAGGGAGCGTCTTGTTGGTCGTTGTTGTATTCCTGCACGGCAAAGGCTGCAGCCTGCTGCACCCCCTGATCTGAGAGGCGCAATTCGACAAGACCCTGGGGCACCCCCAGAGGCAGCATCAGGAGGGCGCAGAGAAGGGACTGGACTGGCATCTGGGAGTGCATCATGGGGCTGTTGAGAGAGAGATAGAGGGCAGGCACGGGTGCAAAGCGAGCAATCCGAACAGTCAGCCTGGACCGCAACGCTCTGCGGGAGCCTCAGGTGGCAGGGGATCTTACCTGTGCAGAGGCCACGCCCATTCCCCAGAAGCCCCGCCCCTGTGGCTGGCCCATCTCCCCTGCCCAGGTGCTCAGAGCCTCCCCATCCCCTGGGTCCCCCCTCTCCCCAGCTGAGGTTAGGCTGACATCGTGGGAGGGGGGAATGAGGAGTTCCTGCTCAAGCGAAGAGCAACAAGGGTGATTGGGGGGCTTCTGGAGAATGTGGCATCCAGTTTTGGTCACCACGTTACAAAAAAGTTGTTGAGATTTTGGGAAAATTGCAGAGAAGAGCAACTCAAAGGCCTGCAGACAAAAAACGTGAAGAACGGTTGCAGGATATGGGTTTGGCCAGTCTAGAGAAAAGAATGGGAAAAGGGGGGACATAATGGCTGTATTTCAATATTTGAGGGGCTGCCACAGAGAAGAAGGGCTCGACCTGTTCTCCAAAGGTCAGAGGGCAGGACAAGAAGGAGTGAATGGAAGCTAATCCAGGAGTGAAGCAACCTGGAATTAAAGAGAAACTTCCCCACAGTGAGGACAATTAACCAGCGGAACAGCTTGTCACCAGAAGGTGTGGGTGCTCCATCACTGGAGGCTTTTAACAAAAGACTGGACAGCCACCTATCTGAAAGGGTATAGGATCTCCTGCTTGAGCAGGAGGTTGGACTAGAAGACCTCTAAGGTCCCTTCCGGCTCTATTCTAATTGACCCCCAAAGGGAATCAGATTGGACCATTGATCGCATCGCCCAGTCAGCGCTTCCCACGCTCCATAAATGACTTAGGAAGCATGGAAAGCATCTTTCCAGAAAGAACAGAGTGGACTGCTGTTCCCTGATGCGATGGAGGAGATCGGGAAACTGCAGCAGGCTTGGATGAACACCTGCTCAGAGGTTTTGACCTGGCATTGGGCGCCCACGGAGACAGGCCCCAAATCCCTGTTAATGCAGCCTCTGGCTAGAAAAACAGGAAAGTCCACCTGTGGGACAATCACTCTCTGGAGGACGGAGAATCGCCCTAGACTCGCAGCCTCGGATTGCCTTGGCTTTTTTTGGCAGCTGCAGCACCCTGCTGGCTCATATTCCAGTGATATGAGGGTTCGAGTGATATTCGTTTTTCTGATCATTTTTAAAAGGATTTTAAGAAGTGTTTGTACAGCCATTTGTTCAGAATGGAATAGGTTCTCCAGCTTGAATAGTGGGTTGGACTAGATGACCTCCAAGGTCCCTTCCAACATTATTATTTTTATCATCATCATCATCATCATCATCAATAATAACAATTATAATTATCTTCCAGAATTATTATTATTATTACCAGGGCACAAAGGGTGGATATAGCTTTGTGTTGTAGTTAGTATATCACCTCCTTCCTTCCTTCCTTCCTTCCTTCCTTCCTTCCTTCCTTCCTTCCTTCCTTCCTTCCTTCCTTCCTTCCTTCCCTCCCTCCCTCCCTCCCTTCCTTCCTTCCTTTCTTCCTTCCTTCCTTCCTTCCAGCCTCTCTCCCTCTTCTATTCACTTCCTTCCCTCCTCCCCTCTCCCTCTCTCCCTCCTTTTCAACCTATATCTCTTTTGTCCTTCCCTCCTTCCTTCCTTCCTTCCTTCCTTCCTTCCTTCCTTCCTTCCTTCCTTCCTTCCTTCTTCCCTCCTCCCTCCCTTCCTCCCACTTCCTTTCAACCTATCCTTTCCTCTCTCCCCCCCTCCCTCCCTCTCGTATTCTGTGTCCCCAAGGGGCTAGGCATGTTCACTGGCATAATATGCCAATTGGACTAGAGTTTGGGAAAGAAGCAGAATTAATTCTGTTAAAAATCTTAATTGCACTTCTTGAAAACTGTCAAATGGATCAAAGTTTCCAGAAGTTTGGAAAGTACCCCAAATGGCTGGAGGCTTTCTTGAACAAGCCATGGTGTCATTGTGCTGTCACCATGAAAACGGAAAGGCTGGATGGGATTTGGACAAGAAAGGAAGACAAGACGGAACGTCATGATGATCGCTTTATTAGGACTAATCAACTGATTTAGCAAAATGTCGATTCTTCTCAAAGATGAAAATTAGAGAAAACAGAAGCGCCAGGAAAGGCCTCCGTGTATGTCAAGGAACAATTTCAGAAACTCAGAGATGGCGATGTTCGGGAGTCCATTGCACATTTGTGTCAATAGAATCAAGGCACATTTGGACGTCCAAGCTCATAGTATCCCCATGATAAGATGTGATTTTAAAGTAGCAGTTTACCTGGAAGGGAATGAAAGAGAAAAACAAATTTGGAAGGGACTCTAGAGGTCTTCTAGTCCAACCCCCTGCTCAGGCAGGAGACCCTGAACCATTCTAGGCAAGCGTTTGTCCAATCTCTTCTTAAAAGCCTCCAGTGATGGAGCACCCACAACGTCTGGTGGCAAGCAGTTCCACTGGTTAATTGTCCTCACTGACAGGAAATTTCTCCTTAATGCCAGGTTGCTTCTCTCCTTGATGAGTTTCCATCCGTTGCTTCTCCTCCTGCCTGCAGTTGCTTTGGAGAATAGGTGACCCCCCCATCTTCTTTGGGGCAGCCCCTCATATAGCAAACTCAATCATCAGATCACTTCTAGTCTTTTGAATTGAAATCGCCCATGAAAATAATTGAAATCTGCTTTACAGAGGGGGCTGCTGAGCTCAGACCAGGCAGGTTTTTTTTTTTATCAATGAAACCGCGAATATATGATCGGAATTTGGCATCTCAACTCACCTGCGGTTGGCCTGGAAATAGAGGACATTGCTGGATCTTCACGTACGCCATTGTGGTACCGGGCCTCTTTATACATGCAGTTTGCACCAACGCGATAGTAAGATGGTATACGTTGGGAAAATTCACCTGGATTTTAAAATAAGTAGCATCACCTTTTAATTCACTGGAAAACATGATCAGCCTCATCGGTTGCAAGGCGGAAAGGGACGTTATGCCTCGAGAGCCGCAAAAACATCATTTCAAGAGGAAACATTTCTGCATCGGATACCAACGGCAAAAACCCATGTCCTTGGCGTCCAGGATAACAGTCCCTCCCTTAGAGCCCCCCCCCCAGCTCCCCCCAGCCCCCCCAAACTCTTCTATTGTTTACAGAGCAAATCCAAGTCCTTTGGCTGCTTCACAGACACAACGAGGCTGCCCCCCCCTGCAATTCTCCCCCCCCCCACGACACACTTCTGCAATAACTGTTTAAGTATGAACAGTCAGGCCCCTCCTTTCCACGTCCACAGTACCTTCCTGGGAAGACCCCTCCCCAAAGTGCCTCCCCTCCCTCAGTTCCCTTCCACTGTACCTTCGAGTAACTCCACTCCGAATCGTTTGGCTACTCCAAGGCTGCCCCCCCCCCATCCCCAGAAAAACTCCCTCCTAGCCCCAGACACGCACCGGTGATTGAGCGTACACAACTCGCAGCTTTTTAAAAAAGGAGGGAGCGTCTTGTCGGCCGTCGTTGTATTCCTGCACGGCAAAGGCTGCGGCTTGCTGCACCCCCTGATCTGAGAGGCGCAATTCGACAAGACCCTGGGGCATCCCCAGAGGCAGCATCAGGAGGGCGCAGAGAAGGGACCGGACTGGCATCTGGGAGTGCATCATGGGGCTGTTGAGAGAGAGAGAGAGAGAGAGAGAGAGGGAATCTGGCAGGCACGGACGCAAAGCTAGCAATCCCAACAGTCAGCCTGGACAGCAACGCTCTGCTGGAGTCTCAGGTGGCAGGGGATCTTACCTGTGCAGAGGCCACGCCCATTCCCCAGAAGCCCCGCCCCTGTGGCTGGCCCATCTCCCCTGCCCAGGTTCTCACCACCTCCCCATCCCCAGGGTCCCCCCTCTCACCTGCGGAGGTTAGACTGACATCGTGGGAGGGGGGAATGAGGAGTTACTGCTCAACGAAGAGCAACAAGGGTGATTGGGGGGCTTCTGGAGAATGTGGCATCCAGTTTTGGTCACCATGTTACAAAAAAGTTGTTAAGAATTTGGGCAAAGTGCAGAGAAGAGCAACTCAAAGGCCTGCAGACAAAAAACATGAAGAACGGTTGCAGGATTTGGGTTTGGCCAGTCTAGAGAAAAAAAGGGGAAAGGGGGGGACATGATGGCTGTATTTCAATATTTGAGGGGCTGCCACAGAGAAGAAGGGCTCGACCTGTTCTCCAAAGGGTCAAAGGGCAGGACAGGAAGGAGTGAATGGAAGCTAATCCAGGAGTGAAGCAACCTGGAATTAAAGAGAAACTTCCCCACAGTGAGGACAATTAACCAGCGGAACAGCTTGTCACCAGAAGGTGTGGATGCTCCATCACTGGAGGCTTTTAAGAAAAGACTGGACAGCCACCTATCTGAAAGGATACAGGATCTCTTGCTTGAGCAGGAGGTTGGACTAGAAGACCTCTAAGGTCCCTTCCGGCTCTATTCTAATTGACCCCAAAAGGGAATCAGATTGGACCATTGATCGCATCGCCCAGTCAGTGCTTCCCACGCTCCATAAATGACTGAGGAAGCATGGAAAGCATTTTTCCAGAAAGAACAGAGTGGACTGCTGTTCCCTGATGCGATGGAGGAGATCGGGAAACTGCACAAGGCTTGGATGAACACCTGCTCAGAGGTTTTGATCTGGCATTGGGCGCCCACGGAGACAGGCCCCAAATCCCTGTTAATGCAGCCTCTGGTTAGAAAAACAGGAAAGTCCACCTGTGGGACAATCACGCTCTGGAGGATGGAGAATCGCCCTAGACACGCAGCCTGCAGCCTCGGATTGCCTTGGCTTTTTTGGCAGCTGCAGCACCCTGCTGGCTCATATTCCAGTGATATGAGGGTTTCAGTGATCTTAGTGTTTTTTTAATCATTTTTGAGAACTTTTTAATGTCCATCCATTGTTTCTTGACCTGCCCTCTGCTGCTTTGGAGCATAAGGTGACCCCCATCTTTTTTGTGGCAGCCTCTCAAACAGCAAACACCGTTATCAGGTCACCTCCAGTGTTTTGAATTGAAATCACCCATGAAAATAATTAAAGTCTGCTTTACAGAGGGGGCTGCTGAGGTTAGACAAGGCAGGTTTTATCCCTTTTTAATCCGCAAATATATACTCGGAATGTGGCATGTAAACTCACTTGCATATACCCTAGAGCAGTGGTTCTGAACCTTTTTAATGCCGCGACCCCCAACCGGTCGCAAGTAGAGGACTACTCAACCGGTCATAAGTCGAGGACTACTCAACGGGTGCAGCACCGTTTGCAGACTTCGACTTTTGGCGGGCTCAGCAGGGCAGAGACAGCCTGGACAATTCCTATTGGCTTTTGAAAGCCAATAGAATTAGACTCTATTCAAGAGAGTCTATTCTATTGGCTTTCAAAAGCCAATAGAATAAAAGGGAGGAGCACAGCTAAGGAAAAGGGGGGAAAAATGGCGGACTGCGTTGTTTGGCGACCCCCTTGAAATGGTCGTTCGAGCCCAAATGGGGTCCCGACCCACAGGTTGAGAACCACTGTCCTAGAGGTTCTTTACATTGCTGGATCTCCTTAAATGTCATTGTCTTACTGGTCCTCTTTTTACCTGCTGTTTTCACCATCCGCACAGTAAGATGGTATTCGACCCCAGTAACCACCTGGATCTTAAAATAAGTACATGGCATTTTAATTAGTTAGAAAACACAATCGGCTTCATTGGTTGCAACCAGGAAAGGACTTTATGCCTTGAGAGCAGCAAGAACAAAAGACCAAGAGGAAATTTTTCTCTAACAGATAGAAACGGCAGAACATCATGTCCTTTGGGTCCACGATCACAATCCCTTCCCTACAACACCCCCTAAAGTCCCTCCAGCCCCCCAAACTCTTCTACTGTTTCCAGAGCAATTCTGAGTCCTTTGCCTACTCCAAGGACCCAATAGGTGGTCCCCCCCCAAATACTCTCCCCCCCCCCAGACACTTACATGCAATAACTGTTCAGATATAAACAGGTCTTTTCTGTCCACAATACCTCCCTGCAGAAACTTCCTGACCGTGAGAACAATCAACCCATGGAACAGAAGTCGCCTTCAGATGTTGTGGGAGTTTCCTAACTGGAAGCTTTGAAGAACAGTCTGGACTGCCATTGTTGGATATAGTGCAGGGCAGGGCTTTTCAACCAGTAGTATGGGTACCACCTGTGGTACATTGGCACCTGGCAGGTGGTACGCGACCATCCTAGGAAAGTGGTAGTAGGGAGGGGAATGAGCTGAACCGGTGGCAGCACCGCACAAGCCTGAGCGAGAGACGGCTGGAGCTGCAGGGCTGTCGGGGCTCAGCAGAAGTCCAGGATCAGTGCCGCTTTCCAGCTGATTGGCGCTTCTTCGGGGCTGTCAGGGCTCAGCGGAAGCGCCAGGATCAGCGCCAGGCTCCAGCTGGAGCTCAGCGCTGATCCTGGAGCTTCTGCTGAGCCCCGAAGAAGCACCGATCAGCTGGAATGTTGCAGCCTCTCCAGGGTCTTGTGATTTACATTCAGATGCTTGGCCACCGATTCATATTTATGACGGTCACAGTGTCCCAGGGTCATGTGAAGTGACCAAAACCTGCTGCAACCACCCAGCAGATGGGGGGGAATAAAAACTAAACACCCCCCACCCCACCCCCGCTGCCAATCCTCAACAGAAATGCTCACAACAATGAAAACCTCGGACAGGTGGGCAGGTGTCTTGCTCGGCTGTGGCTTGGGGGGCACTTTTTTCGGCGCCATTGTAACTTCGAACAGTCACTAAGCAAACTGTTGTAAGTCGAGGACTATCTGTACTTTATAGCTTTTTTCCCTTTTTTTTTGGTTATCAAGTTTTTGATACCTTGATAGGCGACTGGTGGCACTCGGATGTTGTCATCTCCTAAAAGTGGTACCATGGGTGAAAAGGTTGAAAAGCCCTGGTGTAGGGTCTCCTGCTTGGGTGAGGGGTTGGACCAGATGACCTTCCAAGGCCCCTTCCAACTCTGTTATTATAAATTGTCTCCCATCCCTCCCATTCCAGCCCCACTTCACCCCGTGGCCCCCTCCTCACCAGCAGCCCCCCCAAAGGAGAATCGCCCCCAGGTGTGGCCTGCCCGGAGCAGCGCAGCCAAGGACATGGCAGCGGGCAGCAAGGGCAAGACTCCGCGCTCGTACCCCGTTGCACACAGATGATGCTGTGGGGCACAGGCGGAGGTCGTGGCCACCATGGGGCAGCTGGGGCACCTGGACGATCTGCTGCGGCCAGCCATGGAGGAGGTGGGTGGTCCTGCAGGTGGGAGGTTTTGGGGCACTTGGTCTCTAAAAGGTTCACCATCACTGGTGTAGAGTCTCCTGCTTGGGCCTGGGGGGTTGGACTAAATGACCTAGAAGTTCCCTTCCATCTCTGTTGTTCTGTATTCATTTTGGCCTGGACAAGGGGGGACATGATAGCAGTATTCCAATATCTCAGGGGCTGCCACAAAGAAGAGGGAGTCAAGCTATTTTCCAAAGCACCTGAAGGCAGGACAAGAAGCAACGGGTGGAAGCTGATCAAGGAGAGAAGCAACCTAGAACTACGGAGAAACTTCCTGACAGTGAGAACAATTAACCAGTGGAACAACCCGCCAACAGAAGCAGTGAATGCTCCAACACTGGAAGTTTTTAAGAAGAGACTGGACAGCCATTTGTCCGAAATGGTGTAGGGTTTCCTGCCTGAGCAGGGGGTTGGACTAGATGACCTCCAAGGTCCCTTCCAACTTTACTGCTATTACTATGACTATATCACCACAAAATGGTCTGTGTTTGCGTTTGTAAGTTGGCTTTAATTCAGAGACTTGGATCTGTCGTAAGTTCCAGTCTAGTCAAAAGAAGGTGGAGGGATAACATGATGGCAGTCTTCCATTATTTGAGGAGCTGCCACAAGGAAGGTGTGTGTGTGTGGGGGGTGTCAATTTATTTTTCAAAGGCAGGACAAGAAACAAGGAATGGAAACTAATCCAGGAGTGAAGCAACCTGGAATTAATGAGAAACTTCCTCACAGTGAGGACAGTTAACCAGAGGAACAGCCTGCCACCAGAAGTTGCGGGTGCTTCATTACTGTTTTAAGAAAAGACTGGACAGCCACCTGTCTGGAATGGTGTAGGGCAGTGGTGGCGAACCTATGGCACGCCGGCACTCAGAGCCCTCTCTGTTGGCCCGCGTGCCGCCGCCGCCAACAGCAGGTCCGTCAGGCTGCCACCGCTGCCCGGAGCAAGCGCCCCGCCCAGCACAGAGGAGGCAAAGGGGCCGACTAGCAAACACGAGTAGAGGTGGTAGAGCAGAGGTCACCAACCATTGTCGATTGGTTGACTGGAAGAAAAGGGAGGGGGAAGCATTTTACATGCATGCACATGCACGCACAGGGCCGCGAGCACGCACGCATTGCAAATGGGGCGGGGTTGGGGCCTGCATGATGCTCACTGCCCCATTCTTGCGTGGTGCAGCTCCTTGAATCTGCACCCCACGGTGCGGCAGTGGCTGATTTTGCGCCTTGCAGCACGGTGACCCATTTGTGCGCCGCCGGTTTTACGTGCCACAGGCGGCACTCAGAGGCACTTCCCTGCCCCCCCCCCTGAGGGCACCACAGTGCTGATGTGGCCCTGGCACTTTGCGAAAAATAAGTGGGTTTTGGGTTGCAATTTGGGCACTCAGTCTTTAAAAGGTTCGCCATCACTGGTGTAGGAGGTTGGACTGGAAGACCTCCAAGGTCCCTTCCGGATCTATTCCAATTGACCCCCAAAGGGAATCAGATCGGACCATTGATCGCATCGCCCAGTCAGCGCTTCCCACGCTCCATAAATGACTTAGGAAGCATGGAAAGCATCTTTCCAGAAAGAACAGAGTGGACTACTATTCTCTGATGCGATGGAGGAGATCGGGAAACTGCATAAGGCTTGGATGAATGCCCACTCCGAGGTTTTGACCTGGCATTCGGCGTCCATGGAGACAGGCCCCAAATCCCTGTTAATGCAGCCTCTGGTTAGAAAAACAGGAAAGTCCACCTGTGGGACAATCACGCTCTGGAGGACGCAGAATCACCCTAGACTCGCAGTCTCGGATTGCCTTGGCTTTTTTGGCAGCTGCAGCACCCTGCTGGCTCATATTCCAGTGATATGAGGGCTTGAGTGATCTTCGTGTTTTTTTAATCATTTTTGAGAACTTTTTAATGTCCATCCATTGTTTCTTGTCCTGCCCTCTGCTGCTTTGGAGCCTAGGGTGACCCCCGTCTTTTTTCTGGCAGCCTCTCAAACAGCAAACACCGTTATCATGTCACTTCCAGTGTTTTGAATTGAAATCAACCATGAAAATAATTAAAGTCTGCTTTACAGAGGAGGCTGCTGCTGCGGTCAGACAAGGCAGATTTTATCCCTTTTTAAACCGCAAATATATAATCGGAACGTGGCATGTAAACTCACTTGCGTATTCCCTAGAGCAGTGGTTCTCAACCTGTGGGTCGGGACCCCATTTGGGGTCGAACGACCATTTCACGGGGGTCACCAAACAATGCAGTCCACCATTTTTCCCCCCTTTTCCTTAGCTGTGCTCCTCCCTTTTATTCTATTGGCTTTTGAAAGCCAATAGAATAGACGCTCTTGAATAGAGTCTAATTCTATTGGCTTTCAAAAGCCAATAGGAATTGTCCAGGCTGTCTCTGCCCTGCTGAGCCTGCCAAAAGTCCCATTCTGCAAACGGTGCTGCACCAGTTGAGTAGTCCTCGACTTACGACCGGTTGAGTAGTCCTCGACTTACGACCAGTTGGGGGCCGCGGCATTAAAAAGATTGAGAATCACTGCCCTAGAGGTTCCTTACATTGCTGGATCTCCTTAAATGTCATTGTCTTACTGGTCCTCTTTTTACATGCTGTTTTCACCATCCTCACAGTAAGATGGTATTCGACCCCAGTAACCACCTGGATTTTTAAATAAGTACACGACATTTTAATTACTTAGAAAACTTGATCAGCTTCATTGGTTGCAACCTGGAAAGGACTTTATGCCTTGAGAGCTGCAAGAACAAAAGTCCAAGAGGAAATATTTCTCTAACAGATACAAACGGCAGAACATCCATTTGTTCCATTTGTTCAGAATGGACTAAGGCAGTGATGGCGAACCTTTTAGAGACTGAGTGCCCCAAAACCGCCTGTCAGAATCCAATTATATTTCATCTCTAGTTATTGACTATGGACAACCCCATTTCTGCCCTGTCTGGATTCTGTCATACGATGAAGGGGAAGGGGGGTGAGCAAAGGGACTTTATGGCCCTCACTTCCTTCGGTACAACTTCAAAAGGGACTGCATGTGGATACCACCAAAAGGACTACACATAACAATGGGGCCATCAGCTTTCATCTACTCCCCTCTGAAGTCTCCCTTATGCAGGCAGTGAGGAAAAAGGGGGTGGAAATGTAACGCCTGGGATTGTCACTGGAAGGATGGTGGGGTGGGGTTGCTGGGAACCCCTTAAAACCTTGAACTGTAGGGCTTGTCTAGAACGCCTGCAACTTGAGAAAGAAGCAATATTAATTCTGTTAAAAATCTTAATATGGGTTCTTGAAAACTGCCAAACGGATCAAACAACCACAGAGAAAGTTTCCAGAAGTTTGGAAAATAACCCAAATTGCTTCCTCATTCGGCATCTGGATGGTGAAGTTCCAGCCAGGGATGCTTTGGGATCTCTGTTGGCCTCTCCTCCTCCTCGGAGGTGGGACCGTCAGGGGTCAAAAGGACCACCTTGAAGGGCCAAGGAAAAGCCCAGGGCAGACCCTTGTTCCCCCCAGCTGGTCAGAGCAAAGTCTTCCCAGCCAGAGGCTGCCTTGAACAAGCCAGGCTGTCTTTGTGCTCCGGCTGGGAAAACGGAAAGGCTGGATGGGATTTGGACAAGAAAGGAAGACAAGTCGGAACGTCATGATGATCGCTTTATTAAGACTAATCGACTGAATTAGCAAAATGTCGATTCTTCTCAAAGATGAAAATTAGAGAAAACAGAAGCGCCAGGAAAGGCCTCTGTGTATGTCAAGGAACAATTTCAGAAACTCAGAAAATGTGAATTTTGGGCTTAAGCAAACCATTCCATTCCTGATTTGTGTCAGAAGAAGCCAGGCTTGCCGTGAACACAGCTTGCACACCGGAACTCGCTCGGCTGCTGGACACTCTCAGAATCCTTCGCCTGGGCATAATTAGGTACAGATTGTGATGTCCAAGTTCATATTTTGACGGGATGTGACTTTAAAGTAGCAGAGTAGCTGGAAGGGAATGAAAACAAAAACAGAGTTGGAAATGACCCTAGAGGTCATCTAGTGCAACCCTCTGCTCAAGTAGGAGACCCTGAACCATTCTAGATCAGGGGTTCTCATCCTTGGCAACTTTAAGACTCCCAGAATTCCTCAGCCAGGAAGTTGAAGTCCACAAGTCTTAAAGTTGCCAAGGTTGAGAACCCCTGTTCTAGACGAACGTTTGTCCAATCTCTTCGTTTTTTTTTTAAAAAAAAAATCAGGTTTTATTGGTTTTTTTAATTTTTACAACAAGGTGCTTGAGAAACAATGTGGAGATGGGTTAATCAATTATCCAATCTCTTCTTAAAAACCTCCAATGATGGAGCACCCACAGCTTCTGGAGGCAAGCAGTTCCACTGGTTAATTGTCCCCACTGTCAGGAAATTTCTCCTTAATGTCAGGTTGCTTCCCTCCTTGATGAGTTTCCATCCATTGTTTCTTCTCCTGCCTGCAGTTGCTTTGGAGAATAGGTGACACTACCCCCCCCCCCGTCTTCTTTGGGGCAGCACCTCATATAGTAAACACCATCATTTTGAATTGAAATCATTCATGAAAATAATTGAAATCTGCTTTTCAGAGGGGGCTGCTGAGCTCAGACCAGGCAAGTTTTATTAATTAAACTGCAAATATATGATTGGAACGTGGCATCTAAACTCACCTGCGGATCGCCTGGAAGTTTCTTACATTTCTGGATCTTATTATACGGCCTTGTCCTACCGGTCTTCTTTTCACATGCAGTTTTCATCAACAGAACAGTAAGATGGTATTCGACCTGAGGATCCGTCTGGATTTAAAAATAAGTACATCACCTTTTAATTAATTAGAAAACATGATCAGCCTCATCGGTTGCAAGGCGGAAAGGATGTTATGCCTTGAGAGCAGCAAAAACCTCATTTCAAGAGGAAATATTTCTGTATCAGATACCAACAGCAGAAAATCATGTCCTTGGCGTCCACGATAACAGTCCCTCCCTTAGAGCAGGGCTTTTCAACTGGTAGTACACCCGTGGTACGTTGGCACTTGGCAGGTGGTACGCGACCCTCCTAGACAAGTGTAGTGGGGGAGTGGAATGAGCTGAAGTGACACAAGCCTGAGGGAGAGGCAGCTGGAGCTTCAGGACTGTCACGGCTTGACAGAAGCCCCAGGATCTCTGCAGGGCTCCACAGATTGGCGCTTTGGGAAGCAGTTTGTAGCTGGAAGTGAACCGAAGAGAAAAGGAGGGGGAGAGAGGAGAGGATATAAAAGGAGGTGGTTTTGGTGGGAAAGCGAAAAAAGACAATAGGAAAGGAGAAGGTTATGGAGAAGGAGCTGGGGAAGGTGAGCCCAGCAAGCAGGGAGGAAAAAGACAGGGAAGAAAAAGCTGTTGCTGGAAGAAAGGTTTCCCTGGTTCATTTTTTTCCAGTCAGGAGAATGCAGTCAGTGCTGATGAAATGAAAAGCTGGGAGACGAGCATGTCAGAAAGGATGTTGGTTTACTTCGCAAGCCAATGGGTTCTGGGTCAGCTGACAGCTTGATTGGGTTACCCTAAGGATTTTTATAATTTCATAATTCAAAGGCTTGGAATATTTTAGTCCAGTGATGGCAAACCTTTCAGAGACCGAGTGCCCCAAAACAGCCCCACCTCTGGCCTGCCCCTGTTCCGCCCGTCTCCCACACTGCTTCGCCATTAGCATGCCTGCCCTCAGGGCCATCCATGGCCCCTGCAGATTGCCCAGGCAGCCCTGCAGTGCCATGGTGGCCACGCCCTCCGCCCGCCCCCCACAGTATCATCTGCCCAGCTGCCATGTGCTTGGCTGCACCCAAGGGTGACTCTCCTCCAGGGGGCCTGCTGGTGAGGAGGGGCTGTGGGGGGGGAGATGGGGCTGGGGCGACGGCGTGCGTGACCAAAGAGGGGGCTCCGGGTGCCACCTCTGGCCCCCGTGCCATAGGTTCGCCACCACTGTTTTAGTCTGTTTCACAAAGCAGTGAGTCCAAAATGTTGGTTTAAACAAATGTAATTAGCTTTACCCACTCGTCTTGAGTCTGTCTATGACTTTTAGGAAGTTTTCTCCTTAGCTAAACAGGTTTCATTTAAGGTTATTGCTTTTTGCCATTGCCAGAGCCTTTCAGTCTCTGGTTTCAACATTGTTTAAGCTAAGTAACACCTGAGGTTATTATTTGAGAGCTTGAAGCAAAAAATACTGGAGTTAGTATTTCTTTATTATGGGATGCTTTTGCGAGCCTTTCTTGCTTTGCACGTGATTCCTATGTCTTTAGGGGTACAGTGCATAAGGGAAAGGGATTCAGCCAAGGAACTGCCACCGAAGAAATTAAAACTGGTACTTTTTTTCCTTTTTTAAAAACACTTTGTAACGTTTTATTAGATTATGGAATAACATACGAAAAGACAAAAGCAAATAGTAGGACACAGTGGGGAGGAAAAAGGGGGGGAAATGAGGGGAGAAGGGAAAAAGAACAGACTTCCTCTGTTGCAGTAGAAAGAAGCATTAACACTGAACCTCAACTTTTTACATTTCCATATATTATAAACTAGACATTTCTGTAACAACAAATGAATCTAACCAGTAAAGTCCAAAATCCCCCCCCCCTTTATTTTTAGTCATCAAGTTTTTGATACCTTGCTAAGCACTGGTTGTACTTGAATATTGTCATGTCTTCAAGGTGGTACAATCTGTGAAAAGGTTTAAAAGCCCTCCCTTAGAGCACCCCCTCAGCTCCCCCCAGCCCCCCCCAACCCCTCCTATAATTTACAGAGCAATCCCAGTCCTTTGGCTGCTTCACGGACACAACGAGGCTGCCCCCCCTCCCACAACTCCCCCCCAGACACACTTCTGCAATAACTGTTCAGGCCCCTCCTGTCCACGATCCACAGTACCTTCCTGGGAAGACTCCCCCCCCAAACTGCCTCCCCTCCCTCAATTCCCTTCCATTGTACCTTCAAGTACCTCCGAATCGTTTGGTTACTCCAGGGAGCCAACGAGGCTGCCCCCCCCATCCCCATGAAAACTCCCTGCCACCCCCAGACACACACCTGTGATTTTGCCTTCAGAAGGCACAGCTTCTTAAAATAGTTGGCACTGTCATCCTGATCCTTGTTGTACTGCTCCACGGCAAAGGCCAGGGCTGTCTGCATCCCCGCATCTGTGACGGGCACGTCGGAAAGACACTTGGGCATCCCCAGGGGCAGCATCAGGAGGGCGCAGAAAAGGAAGGGGACTGGCAGCTGGGAGTGCATCATGGGGCTGGCAAGAGAGAGAGAGGGAGGCTGGCAGGCACGGAAGCCAAGCGAGCAATCCCAACAGTTGCCCTGGACCGACCTCAACGCTCTGCTGGAGCATCAGGTGGCAGGGGACCTTACCTGTGCAGAGGCCACGCCCATTCTCCAGAGGTCCCGCCCCTGTGGCTGGCCCATCTCCCCTGCCCAGGTGCACACTGCCTCCCCATCCTCTGGGTTCCCCTTCTCCCCAGCTGAGGTTAGGCTGAAGTCATGACTGTGTGTATGGGAGGAACTGCTGTGCAGGCTCCGAGGTTTTGCTTGATAAAAAAAATACGGGAAACCGGAAGTTGCCTTTAAGCTTTACGTTTTTATTCAGCTGAACAAAGACGGGCTCTTCTGAAAGAGAGAAGTCCCGAATGACAAGAAATCCTTGTATTTATTCTTTCTGATTACATAAGCAATCCACCCAGCAAAGCTGACACACATAAGATAAAGATTTCACCCAGGGAGTCTGGCACACAGTAGATTTAAAAGGGAGAAAGCAGAAGTAGCTAAAAATGTTCCCTTTGGGGTGTTTTCCTAAAGACATTGTACGTTCCCGGGTGGATTAGGACATTGGGTGTTTTCCTTGCTGTCCTTTCGTGACCCTGATCCAGGAGTCTGCAAGGGCCCAAAGTCAGCAGGGCTACCTGCAAATATTCACCATTTGATACATCCTATGCTGTCTCCTAATTCCGGGTCGACAGAATGAGGAGTTCCTGCTCAAGTGAAGAGCAGCAAAGATGATTAGGGAGCTTTGGGGGAATGTGGCATCCAGTTTTGGTCACCACGTTACAAAAAAAATGTTGAAATTTTGGAAAAAGTGCAGAGAAGAGCAACTCAAAGGCCTGCAGACAAAAAACATGAAGACCGGTTGCAGGATTTGGGTTTGGCTAGTCTAGAGAAAAAAAGGGGAAAAGGGGGGACATGATGGCTGTATTTCAATATTTGTGGGGCTGCCACAGAGAAGAGGGGCTCGACCTGTTCTCTTTGGAGAGATAGTGAATGGAAAATAATCCAGGAAAAAAGCAACCTGGAATTAAGGAAAAACATCCCCACAGTGAGGACAATTAACCAGCGGGACAGCTTGTCCCCAGAAGGTGTGGGTGCTCCATCATTGGAGGCTTTAAAGAAAAGACTGGACAGCCACCTATCTGAAAGGGTACAGGATCTCCTGCTTCAGCAGGAGGTTGGACTAGAAGACCTCCAAGATCCCTTCCGGCTCTATTCTAATTGACCCCCAAAGGGAATCAGATTGGATCATTGATCGCATCGCCCAGTCAGCGCTTCCCACGCCCCATAAATGACTTAAGAAGCATGGAAAGCATCTTTCCAGAAAGAACAGAGTGGACTGCTGTTCCCTGATGCGATGGAGGAGATCGGGAAACTACAGAAGACTTGGATGAACGTCCGTTCAGAGGTTTTGACCTGGCATTGGGTGCCCATGGAGACAGGCCCCAAATCCCTGTTAATGCAGCCTCTGGTTAGAAAAAAGTCTTGACAACACAAAAATTAGGATGGCGAAACAAAATTACTTTGAAAATGTGAATAAAACTGGTCATCGGTTGGCCTATAAATTAAAAAAAGAAAAAGTCAAGAGAACAATACATCAACTACAAGATGAAAGTGGAACAGGACAATATAGACAGGAAGAGAAAATGAATGTAATACAAAATTTCTTTTCAGGAAGATATAGCAGATGATAAAGTCAAACATGGAAGGATGTTTCGATTCCCACCATGGGCGAATGGCTACAAAAGCTGATGAAATTAGCAGAGATGGCTAAATTGGCTGTTTCGATAAAAGAAAAATATACAAGTTACTTTTCTTTCTACTTGGAAACCACTTCTGGACTCTGTGCTTGAGGTGGGAAAAATGATACAAAGATTTTTAGGTTTTAGTGATTAGATTCCTTCCTTCCTTCCTTCCTTCCTTCCTTCCTTCCTTCCTTCCTTCCTTCCTTCCTTCCTTCCTTCCTCCCTCCCTCCCTCCCTCCCTCTCATATGCTATATCCCCAACTGGCAAGGCATATTCACTGGCATAATATGGCAATTGAAGTAGAATTTGGGAAAGAAGCAGTATTAATTCTGTTAAAAATCTTAATTGTGGTTTTTGAAAACTGTCAAACGGATCAAACAACCACAGCAAAAGTTTCCAGAAGTTTGGAAAATAACCCAAATTGCTTCACCATTCAGCATCTGGATGGTGAAGTTCCAGCCAGGGATGCTTTGGGATCTGTGATGGCCTCTCCTCCTCCTCCTCCTCGGAGGTGGGACAGTCAGGGGTCAAAAGGACCACCTTGAAGGGCCAAGGAAAAGCCCAGGGCAGACCCCTGTTCCCCCCAGCTGGTCAGAGCAAAGTCTTCCCAGCCAGAGGCTGCCTTGAACAAGCCAGGCTGTCTTTGTGCTCCGGCTGGGAAAACAGGAAGGCTGGATGGGATTTGGACAAGAAAGGAAGACAAGACGGAGCGTCATGATGATCGCTTTATTAGGACTAATCAACTGAACTAGCAAAATGTCGATTCTTCTCAAAGATGAAAATTATAGAAAACAGAAGCGCAAGAACAAGCCTCCATGTATGTCAAGGAACATTTCAGAAACTCAGAAAATGTGAATTTTGGGCTTAAGCGAACCCTTCCTTTCCCGATTTGTGTCAGAAGAAGCCAAGCTTGCCGTGAACGCAGCTTGCACACCGGAACTCGCTCGGCTGCTGGACACCCTCAGATTCCTTTGCCTGCGCAGAAGGTGTTCTTCCGAATATATTATTTCTCACAGTCTGTGACTACCAACTTCATTTCATTCGACGGAGTACGGGATGAGACTTTAAAGTGGCAAGTTATTTTCTGGAGGGGAATGAAAGAGAAAAACAGAGTTGGAAGGGGCCTTAGAGGTCTCCTAATCCAACCCCCTTATCAACCAGGAGACCCTGAACCATTCCAGATAAATGTTTGCCCAGTCTCTTCTTGTAAACCTTCATTGATGGAGCATCCACAACTTGTGGAGGGAAGCAGTTCCACTGATTAATTGTTCTCACTGTTAGGAAATTTCTCCTTAATTCTGGGTTGCTTCTCCCCTTGTTTAATGTCCATCTGTTGTTTCTTGTCCTGCCCTCCTGTGCTTTGGAGAATAGAGTGACCCCCGTCTTTTTTGTGGCAGCCTCTCAAACAGCAAACACCGTTGTCAGGTCACCTCCAGTGTTTTGAATTGAAATCACCCATGAAAATAATTAAAGTCTGCTTTACAGAGGGGACTGCTGAGGTCAGACAAGGCAGATTTTATCCCTTTTTAAACCGCAAATAAATAATTGGAACATGGCATGTAAACTCACTTGTTTATTCCCCAGAGGTTGCTGACATTGCTGGATCTCCATATATGTCTTTTTCTCACCGGCGATCTTTTTACATCCTGTTCTCACCATCGTCACAGTAATATGGTAGTCGACCCCATTAACCACCTGGATTTTTAAATAAGTACGTGACATTTTAATTACTTAGAAAACCTGATCAGCTTCATTGGTTGGAACCTGGGATGGACTTTATGCCTCAAGAGCAGCACGGACAAAAGTCCAAGAGGAAATATTTCTCTAACAAATACAAACAGCCGAAGATCCTCTCCTTTGGGTCTACGATCACAGTCCCTTCGCTAGAACCCCCCCCCCAAAGTCCCCCCCCAGGCTCCCCCAAACCCTTCTACTGTTTCCAGAGCAATTCTTTTTCTTCTTTTTTTTTAAATAATTTTTTATTTTTCCAAACTCTCCCCTATACATATACCGTGATATTTATCAGATGTTAACATACATTCTTTTTACATTCTTATATATAAGATACTTTTAATAAAATGAAATAAATACATACACATGACTTTTGGTGTTGCTCGCCAATTTCCCCTCTCACTGTATCCACACTCCTTCTTCTCTACCTTCTTTCTCCCTTTCTTCTCTTCCCTACTTCCCTCTTCTTCCTCTCCTCTTCTCTTTCCTTCACACTCTCCTCCCCTTTCTCCCCACCTCTCCTCTTCTCCTCCAACCTTGCTACTTCCTTCTCTCCTCCTTTACTCTTTTCTCTCTCCTCTCCTTTCTCCCCTCACATCCTTCTTCAGATACAACTCAGGGGTAACATCCGAGCAACTCCAAATTTCCCTATCTGTATTATATACAATAAGATTAATTTTTTCTTACGTTAATACTTCTATTTATCTAACCTTCTCGGTATATACTTCTATAAATATTTATACAACCTCCAGTTATTCAATACTGTGTTGCCTGGGTCTCCATTCTTATCTGCTCCTTCTTCTTTCATCTAAATTGATGTTAACTATCTTTTAACCGTATTCTCTTTTCAGCCAGTCATAAAAAGTTCCCCAGATTTCATAGTAGTCTGACTCTGTCTTATCTTTAATTGTCATTGTTAGTCTATTCATTTCTGCACATTCCAATATTTTCCCAATCACCTCTCCCTCTGGGGGTGGGGGGGTGGGTGGGCTTTCAGGGCTTTCCCATTTTGTGTAAACACAATCCTTTTCCAGAGCAATTCCGAGTCCTTTGCCTACTCCAAGGACCCAACAAGGCTGCCCCCCCCAAAACCTCCCTCCAGACACACCGCTGCAATAACTGTTCAGATATAAATAGTCAGGCCCCTTCTGTCCACAATTCAAACTATCTCCCTGGGAAGACTCCCCCCCCCCCTTAAACTGCCTCCATATCACAATTCCCTTCCGTTGTGCCGTCAAGCAATTCCCAGTCCTTTGTTGTTGTTGTTGTTGTTAATTGCGAAGTCGTGTCCGACCCATTGCGACCCCATGGACCACGTTCCTCCAGGCCTTCCTGTCCTCTACCATCTTCTGGAGTCCATTGAAGCTCACGCCTCCTGCTTCAGGGACTCCATCCAGCCACCTCATTCTCTGCCCTCCATCTTTCCCAGCATCAGGCTCTTCTCCAGGGAGTCCTTCCTTCTCATTAAGCGGCCAAAGGACTTGAGTTTCAGCTTCAGGATCTGGCCTTCTAAAGAGCAATCAGGGTTGATCTCCTCTAGGACTGATCCGTTGGATCGCCTTGCAGTCCAGGGGACTCGCAGGAGTCTTCTCCAGCACCAGAGTTCAAAGGCCTCCATTCTTTGGCGCTCAGCCTTTCTTAGGGTCCAACTTTCACAGCCGTACATTGCAACTGGGAAAACCATGGCCTGGACTACACGTACTTTTGTTGGCAGGGTGATGTCTCTGCTTTTTAGTATGCTGTCTAGATTTGCCATAGCTTTCCTCCCCAGGAGCAAGCATCTTTTAATTTCTTGGCTGCAGTCCCCATCTGAGGTGATCTTGGAGCCCAGAAAAATAAAATCTGTCACTACCTCCATTTCTTCCCCATCTATTTGCCAGGAATTGAGAGGGCCGGATGCCATGATTTTGGTTCCCAGTCCTTTGGCTACTCCAAATACCCAACCAGACTGCCCCCCCCCAAAACCCCTATCCCCAGATACACACCTCTGCCTGTACTCCCGGACGGCTCACCATCTTCAAATAGCCTGAACTTCTCTGGTTGTCCTGATTGTATTGCTCTATGGCAAATTCCAAGGCTTTCTGCTCCCTCGCATCGGTGAGGTGCACCTTACCCAGGGTCAGGTCCGGGGGCAGCATGAGGAGTGCGCAGAGGAGGGACAGGATGGGGAGCTTGGCGTGCACCATGGGGCTGACGAGAGAGGGGGGTGGCTTGGCAGTGAGGAAGTACGGCGCGCAACCCCAACAGTCTCCCTGGACCGACCTCGACTCTCTGCCTCAGGTCTGCAGGAGCTGCAGGTGGCAGGGGAGCTCACCTGTGCGGAGGCCCTGCCCATTCTGCAGAAGCCCCGCCCCCATGGCTGGCATTGGGCAGCCACTGAGACAGCCCCACAAATCCCTGTTAATGCAGCCTCTGGTTAGAAAAACAGGAAAGTCCACCTGTAGGACAACCACCCTCTATCTGATGGAGGATGGAGAATCGCCCTGGACACGCAGCCTCAGATTGCCTTGGCTTTTTTGGCAGCTGCAGCACCCTGCTGGCTCATATTCCAGTGATATGAGGGCTTGAGTGATCTTCGTTATTTTTAATCATTTTTGAGAAGTTTGTCAAGGGATTTTAAGAAGTGATTGGACAGCCGTTTGTTCAGAATGGAATAGGGTCTCCGGCTTGAATAGTGAGTTGGATTCCGATAAAGCCGGACCAGTGGACCTGTGGAAAAATGTTATCTTTCAATTTTGGGGACGCCACTCTTAAGTCCAAGGAAGAATTAGAATCAGAAGGTTACGACTGCCTTTTGCTTTATATACCTACAAATGAAAGAAAGATTTAAATTAGATTTAAAAAGCCATGGGTCTGACTTTGTTACAAATGAATTGGAAATCCTACTATGTGGTACTGATGATCATATTGTTGCTAAGGTTTATTAAGCGTTATTCAAATTGAATTTGGAAAGTGAACATGTAAAACATTGTATGATTCAGTGGGCAAGGAATTTGGGGTACAATGTGATGCTTGAACAATGGGAGAAGACGTGGATGGAAAGCTCAAAATTCACACTAAATGATAATTTAAAAGAAAATTTCTAGAAGATGACGTATCGCTGGTATTTAACACCAGATAAGTTATCTAGAAAGTTGGACCATAAGAAAGGCTGAACGCCAAAGAATGGAGGCCTTTGAACTCCGGTGCTGGAGAAGACTCCTGCGAGTCCCCTGGACTGCAAGGCGATCCAACTGGTCGGTCCTAGAGGAGATCAACCCCGACTGCTCTTTAGAAGACCAGATCCTGAAGTTGAAACTCAAGTACTTTGGCCACCTAATGAGAAGGAAGGACTCACTGGAGAAGAGCCTGATGCTGGGAAAGATGGAGGGCAAGAGAAGAAGGGGACAACAGAGAAGGAGGGAGCTTGATGGAGTCACTGAAGCAGCAGGCGTGAACTTAAATGGACTCCAGAAGATGGTAGAGGACAGAAAGGCTTGGAGGAACGTTATCCATGGGGTCGCGATGGGTCGGACACGACTTCGCAATTAACTACAACAACAAAATGTTATCTAGAATGTATAAAGGTATCTCAAATGAATGATGAAAATGTAAATATAAAGAGGGGACTTTTTATCATTTATGGGGGACATGTGATAAACAAAAAAATATTGGAATAGGGTTCATATTCTAATGCAGAACATTCTTAAAGTGAATATAAAGATTAAAGCAGAATTCTTTCTTTTGGGTTGAATGGAAAAAGACTGAGGGAAAAAATCGGAACTGTATTTTTATACATGGTGACGGCAGCAAGATTGCTTTATGCACAAAAATGGAAGGATGTTTTGATTCCCATCATGGGCGAATGGCTACAAAAGCTGATGAAATTAGCAGAGATGGCTAAATTGGCTGTTTCGATAAAAGAAAAATATACAAGTTACTTTTCTTTCTACTTGGAAACCACTTCTGGACTTTATGCTTGAGATGGGAAAGATTTTTAGGTTTTAGTGATTAGATTCCTTCCTTCCTTCCTTCCTTCCTTCCTTCCTTCCTTCCTTCCTTCCTTCCTTCCTTCCTTCCTTCCTTCCTTCCTTCCTTCCTTCCTCCCTCCCTCCCTCCCTCCCTCCCTCCCTCCCTCTCGTATTCTATATCCCCAATTGACAAGGCATATTCATTGGCATAATATGGCAATTGGAGTAGAGTTTGGGAAAGAAGCAGTATTAATTCTGTTAAAAATCTTAATTGTGGTTTTTGAAAACTGTCAAACGGATCAAACAACCACAGCAAAAGTTTCCAGAAGTTTGGAAAATACCCAAATTGCTTCCTCATTCGGCATCTGGATGGTGAAGTTCCAGCCAGGGATGCTTTGGGATCTCTGATGTCCTCTCCTCCTCCTCCTCCTCCTCGGAGGTGGGACAGTCAGGGGTCAAAAGGACCACCTTGAAGGGCCAAGGAAAAGCCCAGGGCAGACCCCTGTTCCCCCCAGCTGGTCAGAGCAAAGTCTTCCTAGCCAGAGGCTGCCTTGAACAAGCCAGGCTGTCTTTGTGCTCCGGCTGGGAAAATGGGAAGGCTGGATGGGATTTATTTTATTTTATTTATTTATTTTATTTATGAGACTTATATACCGCTTTAAGTGCAAGCACTCTCTAAGCGGTGTACACCAGTAAGCAATGTATATATATATATTATACATTGCCCCCAACAATCTGGGTCCTCATTTTACCTACCCCGGAAGGATGGAAGGCTGAGTCAACCTTGAGCCGGTGAGATTTGAACCTGCTGAACACAGTCAGCTAAAGTGGCCTGCAGTACTGCACTCTAACTGCTGCGCCACCTCGGCTCTTTGGGATTTGGGCAAGAAAGGAAGACAAGACGGAACGTCATGATGATCGCTTTATTAGCACTAATCCACTGATTTAGCAAAATGTCGATTCTTCTCAAAGATGAAAATTACAGAAAACAGAAGCGCCAGAAAAGGCCTCTGTGTATGTCAAGGAACAATTTCAGAAACTCAGGAAATGTGAATTTTGGGCTTAAGCAAACCATTCCATTCCCGATTTCTGTCTGTCAGAAGAAGCAAAGCTTGCTGTGAACACAGCTTGCACACCGGAACTTGCTCGGCTGCTGGACACCCTCAGATTCCTTCGCCTGCACATAAGGGGTCCTTCGGAGGTAAAGATTAGATACAGGATACGATTTTCATGGTCATATTATGTTCCACAGGACGGGATGTGACTTTTAGGTAGCAGGATTGGTTCTGGAAGGGAATGAACAGAAAAAGAGTTGGAAGGGACTTTAGAGGTCTTCTAAGCCAACCCCCTACTCAGGAGATCCTGAACTATTCCAGACAAACGTTTGTCCAATTTCTTCTTAATAGCCTCCAGTGATGGAGCCCCCACAACATCTGGAGGCAAGCAGTTCCACTGGTTAATTGTTCTCACTGACAGGAAATGTCTCCTTAATGCCAGGTTGCTTCTCTCCTGGATGAATTTCCATCCGTCGCTTCTTCTCCTGCCTGCAGTTGCTCTGGAGAATAGGTGACCCCCCCACCCCCGTCTTCTTTGGGGCAGCCCCTCATATAGCAAACACGATCATCAGATCACTTCTAGTCTTTTGAATTGAGGTCGCCCATGAAATAATTGAAATCAGCTTTACAGAGGGGGCTGCTGAGCTCAGACCAGGCAGGTTTCTTTTATCAATGAAACTGCAAATATATAATCGGAATTTGGCATCTCAACTCACCTGCAGTTGGCCTGGAAATAGAGGACATTGCTGGATCTCCTCATATGTCATTGTATGACTGGTCGTCTTTTCACATACAGTTTTCACTACTTCGATTTTAAGACGATATTTGATCAGGCGTTCAGTATACACCTGGATTTTAAAATAAGTACATGGTCTTTTAATTAACTATAAAACACGATCAGCTTCATCAGTTGCTACCCGGAAAGCACGTCATGCCTCGAGAATGGCAGAAAGATCAGTTCAAGAGGAAATATTTCTGTAACAGATACGAACAGCGGAAAATCGTGTCCTTTGGGTCCACGACAACAGTCCCTCCCCTAAAGCACCCCCTCAGCTCCCTCCAGCCCCCCAAAACCCTTCTATTGTTCCTAGAGGAATTTTGAGTCCTTTGGCTACTCCAAGGATCCGATGAGGCTGCCCCCCCCTAAAAACCTCTCAGACCGACACACCTTTGACCGCGCCGTCACTCTCTGCAGCCTGAAGTAGTTGGCATCGTTTGTTCTCTTCTGGTTGTATTGCGGCACGGTGAAGGCCAGGGCTTTCTGCAACCCCGCATCTTTGGGGGTCACCAGGGAGAATTTCTGGGGCCTTCCCAGAGTCAGCTCCGGGGGCAGCAACATGAGTGCCCAGCAGAGGCAGAGAAGAGACAGGACAGGTAGCTGGGAGTGCACCATGGGGCTGGCGAGAGAAGTACAGCAGGATCAGAAGTACAGCGAGCAACGCCAACAGTTGCCCCAGACCGACCTCGGCGCCCTGTCTTAGGTCTGCAGGAGCCTCAGGTGGCAGGGGAGCTTATCTGTGCAGAGGCCACGCCCATTCTCCAGAAGCCATGCCCATTCTCCAGAAACCACGCCCCCTGGCTGACCTATCTCCATTGCCCAGGTGCTCACTGCCTCCCCCAGCTGAGCTTAGGCTGAAGTTGTGGGGGGGGAATTGAATAGTTCCTGCTCAAGAGAAGAGCAACAGGGATGATTGGGGGGCTGGAGGCTAAGACGTAAGAAGAACGACTGCAGGAATGGGGTCTGGCCAGTCCAGTGAAAAGAGGGACCAGGGGAGACAGGGGAGCAGTCTTCCGGTATTTGAGGGGCTGCCCCAAGGAAGAGGGGCTCAATGTATTTTCCAAAGCAGCCTAGATATTTCCAATATCCCCTAGATATTATCCCAACTGGCAAGGCATATTCACTGGCATAATATGCCAATTGGAGTTTGGGAAGGAAGCAGTATTAATTCTGTTAAAAAGCTTAATTGTGCTTCTTGAAAACTGTCCAATGGATCAAACAACCACAGAGAAAGTTTCCAGAAGTTTGGAAAATAACCCAAATTGCTTCACCATTCGGCATCTGGATGGTGAAGTTCCAGCCAGGGATGCTTTGGGATCTGTGATGGCCTCTCCTCCTCCTCCTCCTCCTCAGAGGTGGGACAGTCAGGGGTCAAAAGGACCACCTTGAAGGGCCAAGGAAAATCCCAGGGCAGACCCCTGTTCCCCCCAGCTGGTCAGAGCAAAGTCTTCCTAGCCAGAGGCTGCCTTGAACAAGCCAGGCTGTCTTTGTGCTCCGGCTGGGAAAACGGGAAGGCTGGATGGGATTTGGACAAGAAAGGAAGACAAGACGGAACGTCATCATGATTGCTTTATTAGGATTAATCAACTGAATTAGCAAAATGTCGATTCTTCTCAAAGATGAAAATTATAGAAAACAGAAGCGCAAGAACAAGCCTCCATGTATGTCAAGGAACAATTTCAGAAACTCAGAAAATGTGAATTTTGGGCTTAAGCAAACCATTCCTTTCCCGATTCGTGTCAGAAGAAGCAAAGCTTGCTGTGAACACAGCTTGCACACCGGAACTCGCTCGGCTGCTGGACATCCTCAGAATCCTTCGCCTGCGCATAAGGGGTCCTTCGTCGATCAAGATACGAAACACTTTCTGGTTTTCAAGATCATTTCATTGGGCACAGGACTGGGTCTGACTTTAAAGCAGGACGTTAATTTCTGGAAGGGAATGAAAAAGAAAAGTTGGATGAGACCTTACAGGTTTTCTAATCCAACCCCCTGCTCAAAACACCCTGAACCATTCCAGACAAACATTTGGCCACTCTCTTCTTAAAAGCCTCCATAACTTCTGGAGGCAAGGAGTTCCACTGGTTAATTGTTCTCACTGTCAGGACATTTCTCCTTAATTCCAGGTTTCTTGTCTCCTTGATTGGTTTCCATCCGTTGCCTTCAGGTTCTTTGGAGAATAGGTTGAGCCCCGTCTTCTTTGGGGCACCCCATCAAATAGTGAAGATTTTTATCATGTCATTTCTAATCTTTTGAATTGAAATCCTCCATGAAAATAATTGAAATCTGCTTTACAGAGGGGGCTGCTGAGCTCAAACCAGGCAAGTTTCATCAATTAAACCGCAAATATATGATTGGAACGTGGCATCTCAACTCACCTGTGGATACCTTGGAAGTTCCTTACATTCCTGGATCTCGTCAAATGTCTTTCTCTTACCGGCCGTCTTTTTACATACTGTTTTCAACAAGACCAGTTTAATATTGTATTCGGTCCCAGTAAACACCTGGATTTTTAAATAAGTACACAACCTTTTAGTTACTTAGAAAATACGATCAGCTTCATCGCTTGCCACCCGGAAGGCACGTTATGCCTCAAGAATGGCAGAAAGATCAGTTCAAGAGGAAATATTTCTGTACCAGATACGAACATCGGAAAATCATGTCCTTTGAGTCCACGACAACAGTCCCTCCCATAAAGCACCCCCTCAGCTCCCTCCAGCCCCCCAAAATCCTTCTATTGCTCCTAGAGCAATTCTGTGTCCTTTGGTTACTACAAGGATCCAATGAGCCTGCCTCCCACATAAACCTCCCACCTTCAGACCCACAGACCTTCATAAGCGCCGCCAAACCCTTCAGCTTGAAGTAGTTGGCATTGTCTTTTTTTTCCTGGTTGTATTGTGGCACGGCAAAGGTCAGGACAGCCTTCAAATCTTTTTTAGACACCTCGGTGAAATTCTGAGGCATCCCCAGAGTCAGCTCCGGAGGCAGCAACAGGAGTGCGCAGAAGAGGCAGAGAAGAGACAGGGCAGGTAGCTGGGAGTGCACCATGGGGCTGGCGAGAGAAGTACAGCAGGATCAGAAGTACAGCGAGCAACGCCAACAGTTGCCCCAGACCGACCTCGACGCCCTGTCTTAGGTCTGCAGGAGCCTCAGGTGGCAGGGGAGCTTATCTGTGCAGAGGCCACGCCGATTCTCCAGAAGCTACGCCCATTCTCTAAAAGCCACGCCCCCTGGCTGACCCATCTCCGTTGCCCAGGTGCTCACTGCCTCCCCCAGCTGAGCTTAGGCTGAAGTTGTGGGGGGGGGGGATTGAGGAGTTCCTGCTCAAGAGAAGAGCAACAGGGATGATTGGGGGGCTGGAGGCTAAGACGTAAGAAGAACGACTGCAGGAATGGGGTCTGGCCAGTCCAGTGAAAAGAGGGACCAGGGGAGACAGGGGAGCAGTCTTCCAGTATTTGCTGCCCCAAGGAAGAGGGGCTCAATGTATTTTCCAAAGCAGCCTAGATATTTCCAATATCCCCTAGATATTATCCCAACTGGCAAGGCATATTCACTGGCATAATATGCCAATTGGAGTTTGGGAAGGAAGCAGTATTAATTCTGTTAAAAAGCTTAATTGTGGTTCTTGAAAACTGCCAAACGGATCAAACAACCACAGAGAAAGTTTCCAGAAGTTTGGAAAATAACCCAAATTGCTTCCTCATTCGGCATCTGGATGGTGAAGTTCCAGCCAGGGATGCTTTGGGATCTGTGATGGCCTCTCCTCCTCCTCCTCCTCAGAGGTGGGACAGTCAGGGGTCAAAAGGACCACCTTGAAGGGCCAAGGAAAATCCCAGGGCAGACCCCTGTTCCTCCCAGCTGGTCAGAGCAAAGTCTTCCTAGCCAGAGGCTGCCTTCAACAAGCCAGGCTGTCTTTGTGCTCTGGCTGGGAAAACGGGAAGGCTGGATGGGATTTGGACAAGAAAGGAAGACAAGACGGAACGTCATCATGATCGCTTTATTAGGACTAATCAACTGAACTAGCAAAATGTCGATTCTTCTCAAAGATGAGAATTACAGAAAACAGAAGCGCCAGAAAAGGCCTCCGTGTATGTCAAGGAACAATTTCAGAAACTCAGAAAATGTGAATTTGGGCTTAAGCGAACCATTCCTTTCCCGATTTGTGTGAGAAGAAGCAAAGCTTGCTGTGAACACAGCTTGCACACCGGAACTTGCTCGGCTGCTGGACACCCTCAGATTCCTTCGCCTGCGCATAAGGGGTCCTTCGGAGGTCCAGATTAGCTACAGGATATGATTGTCAAGGTCTGTTCATTGCGCTTAGGACCACATATTACTTTTAGGTAGCAGGTTTGTTTCTGGAAGGGAATGAAAGAGAAAAACAAATTTGGAAGGGACTTTAGAGGTCTTCTACTCCAACCCCCTGCTCAGGCAGGAGACCCTGAACCATTTTAGACAAACATTTGTCCAATCTCTTTTTAAAAACCACCAGTGATGGAGCACCCACATCTTCTGCAGGGAAGCATTTCCACTGGTTAATTGTTCTCACTGACAGGAAATTTCTCCTTAGTTCTAGGTTGCTTCTCTCCTTGATGAGTTTCCATCCGTTGCTTCTTCTCTTGCCTGCAGTTGCTCTGGAGAATAGGTGAGCCCCCCACCCCCGTCTTCTTTGGGGGCAGCCCCTCAAATAGCAAACACGATCATCAGATCACTTCTAGTCTTTTGAATTGAGATCACCCATGAAAATAATTGAGATCAGCTTTACAGAGGGGGCTGCTGAGCTCAGACCAGACAGGTTTCTTTTATCAATGAAACCGCAAATATATGATTGGAACGTGGCATCTCAACTCACCTCCGGTTTGCCTGGACGTTGCTTACATTGCTGGATCTCCTTAAATGTCATTGTCTTACCGGCCGTCTTTTTACATGCAGTATTCAGGAAGATCGCCTTAATATAGTATAAGCGCCCTTTATACTCCTGGATTTTAAAATAAGTACATGACCTTTTAGTTCAGTGGTTCTCAACTTTTTTAATGCCGCGACCCCCAACCGGTCGTAAGTCGAGGACTACTCAACCGGTCGTAAGTCGAGGACTACTCAACTGGTGCAGCACCGTTTGCAGAATGGGACTTTTGGCAGGCTCAGCAGGGCAGAGACAGCCTGGACCATTCCTATTGGCTTTTGAAAGCCAATAGAATTAGGTTCTATTCAAGAGAGTCTATTCCATTTGCTTTCAAAAGCCAATAGAATAAAAGGGAGTAGCACAGCTAAGGAAAAGGGGGGGGGGAAATGGCGGACTGCTGTTGTTTGGCGACCCCCGTGAAATGGTCGTTCGACCCCAAATGGGGTCCCGACCCACAGGTTGAGAACCGCTGTTTTAGTTACTTAGAAAACACGATCAGCTTCATCGCTTGCCACCCGGAAAGCACGTTATGCCTTGAGAAAGGCAGAAAGATCAGTTCAAGAGGAAATATTTCTGTACCAGATACGAACAGCGGAAAATCATGTCCTTTGGGCCCACGACAACAGTCCCTCCCATAAAGCACCCCCTCAGCTCCCTCCAGCCCCCCCAAACTCTTCTATTGTTCCTAAAGGAATTCCACGTCCTTTGGCTACTCCATGGATTCAACGAGGCTGCCCCCCCCAAATAAACCTCCCATCTTCAGACCGACATACCTTCGCCCCCGCCGACACAGTATGCATCTTAAAATAGTTGGCCTCGTCTTTCATGTCCTGGTTGTATTGCGGCACGACGAAGGCCAGGGCTTTCTTCAACCCCGGATTTTTGGCGTGCACCTTGGAATATTCCCCAGGGAAGCTGATGACACCTTGGCTCTCCGGGGGCAGCAACAGGAGTGCCCAGCAGAGAAGGCAGAGAAGAGACAGGACAGGTAGCTGGGAGTGCACCATGGGGCTGGCGAGAGAAGTACAGCAGGATCAGAAGTACAGCGAGCAACGCCAACAGTTGCCCCAGACCGACCTCGGCGCCCTGCCTTAGGTTTGCAGGAGCTTCAGGTGCGCAGGGGAGCTTACCTGTGCAGAGGCCACGCCCATTCTCCAGAAGCCCCACCCGTCCAGCTGGCCCATCTCTGTTGCCCAGGTGCTCACTGCCTCCCCCAGCTGAGCTTAGGCTGAAGTCATGGGGGGGGGGGGATTGAGGAGTTCCTGCTCAAGAGAAGAGCAACAGGGATGATTGGGGGGCTGGAGGCTAAGACGTAAGAAGAACGACTGCAGGAATGGGGTCTGGCCAGTCCAGTGAAAAGAGGGACCAGGGGAGACAGGGTAGCAGCATTCCAGTATTTGAGGGGCTCCCGCAAGAAAGAGGGGCTCAATTTATTATCCAAAGCAGCAGAAAGCAAGAGAAGGACCGATCGATGGAAACGGATGAAGGAGAGAAACAATCTAGAGCTAAAGGAGAAATTTCGTCAACTGTGAGAACAATCAACGAACGGAACGGCTTGCCTTTTAGAAATTCTGGAAGTTACTAAGAAAAGCTTGTGCAACCATAAATGACTGAGGAAGCATGGAAAGCATCTTTCCAGAAAGAACAGAGTGGACTGCTGTTCCCTGATGCGAGGGAGGAGATCGGGAAACTGCACAAGGCTTGGATGAACGCCCGCTCAGAGGTTTTGACCTGGCATTGGGCGCCCACGGAGACAGGCCCCAAATCCCTGTTAATGCGATATTCTGACAAGCAAGACCAAAAGGGAAGCCCAGATTCACTTAATGACCGTATTACTAACTTAGCAACGGCCGTGATTCACTTAACAACTGGGGCAAGAAAAGTCCTAAGGGGGAAAAACTCATTTAAAAAATGTGTCACTTAAGAACAGAAATTTAGGAGTACCTATACTGTTTGTCTGTCTGTGTGTTTGTGTATCTGTGTGTGTGTCTGTGTGTGTGTGTAGTTTTAAATTTGCAAACCAAGGGCTCCCTCTAGTGGCAATGTAGTGGAAATACAGGGAAACAAGGATAGACGCTACTCCTGCATAGCCGGATGCATTGGAAGCTAGAAACCTGGCATCACAAGTGTAATATTTAATATTACATGTATTGACAGCTGCGAGAATAGTATCTGCCCAGTTTTGGAAAAATGAAAATCTACCACCTGACCAGATTATAATCACGAAAATCTTAGACCGTTTTTCACACTTACGACCGTTGCAGCATCCCCACATGGTCACGTGATCAAAATTCAGACGCTTGGCAACTGACCCGTATTTACGATGGTTGCAGTGTCTCCCGGGGTCACGTGATCCCGATTTACGCCCTTCCAACAAGCAAAGTCAGTGGGGGAAGCCAAATTCACTTCACAATCATGTTACCCTCTTTAACACCTGCGGTGATTTACTTAACAACGGGGGCAAGAAAAGTCGTAAAACGGAGCCAAACTCACTTAACCAGCGTCTGGCTTTGCCACGGGAATTTGGAGCTCAGTTGTGGTCCTAAACGAAGGACGCACCGTGTTGCCTCCCCCAGAATAGTGAGCTTGGCACACAATGACACAACTGCTTGGTGAAGCATTTGCAAGGGGACATGGGTGAAGCGCTCTGTTCCAGCTCTGCATAATTCTCACCTGGGTCCTTCCCCAGGTCCACCCAGTTTGCCCAGGACACCCCCCCCCCATTTTCCTTGGTGTCTTTGTTTTGTGTGTGCTGCATCCAGAGACTTTTGTGAGAGTGGCTTATGGGGGGGTCTGCGTTCCTCCTCTTCCCCGTGATACCAGAGACCTAATATCATATGCGGTGGGAATGCCCAAAAGCTCAACAATTTGGGCATCTGATAAAAAATTGGCTAGAAGAGATATTATCACAAAAGAGCGAATTAAAACCAGAAACTTTTTTTATTAGGAATGACCAAGGAGAAATTCAGCAAAGGGTCTTTATAGTTAGTACAACGCATTCTAACTGCAGCGAGACTAGCTTATGCTCAGAAAGGAAAGAAGCCTCTAAAGGAGAAGAAGGAATAAATAAAATCCTATCCTGCCCCGAAATGGATAGGTTAACATTAGAGCTTAAAAATAAAACCGAAACAGACTCTTTTGAAATTTGGAATGGAGTGTTTAAATGGGTAGAGCAGTGGTTCTCAACCTTTTTAATGCCGCGACCCCCAATCGGTCGTAAGTCGAGGACTACTCAACCGTCGTAAGTCGAGGACTACTCAACTGGTGCAGCACCGTTTGCAGAATGGGGCTTTTGGCAGGCTCAGCAGGGCAAAGACAGCCTGGACAATTCCTATGGGCTTTTGAAAGCCAATAGAATGAGACTCTGTTCAAGAGAGTCTATTCTATTGGCTTTCAAAAGCCAATAGAATAAAAGGGAGGAGCACAGCTAAGGAAAAGGGGGAAAAAATGGCGGACTGCGTTGTTTGGCGACCCCCGTGAAATGGTCGTTCGACCCCAAATGGGGTCCTGACCCACAGGTGGAGAACCACTGCACTAGAGTCAAGGAGAAGGAATGCTGGGACGAATGTTGATTGATAAGTTGATAGTTTAGAAATCTTTATATTAGTAGTCTCTCTCTTTTTTTTTTTTTTAATTGAAATTTTTCAAAAATTTTACAAATAAACATCCCCCCCCTCCCAAACCACCCCACCCTCCCCCCCCCCGACTTCCCAGAACTGAATATAGGATTATTTAACAAATTTTAAAAAATAACGTTTACAATTTATAAAATAATTAATAAAAATAATAAAGGTCATAATAATAATATATATAATAATATATATAATAATAATATGCATAACATAAGCTTTAAAATGAATAATATATACTAAAAAAGAAAGAAAAAAAAGGGAAAAGAAAAGAGAGAGAGAAAGAAAAAAGAAAAAAGTAGACGAAAAATAGAACATATATATAAAAAATATATATATAAGTAATAATACGTAAAGAAAAAAGGAAGAAAGAAAGAAGGAAAAAACAATCATTACAAGTTATAAAAAAGCTAAATGGTATTTTTCCATTAGTAGTCTCTTGATAAGCGAGAATTGAAAGCTATTTATCCACAATGTATATGATTGAAAGAATGCTGACTAGAAAGTTTATACTGGTAGATCTCATGTGTATAATTTGTTATAATGTCAAGACATTTTTCAGGGAAGTTGTATTATGTCCACTGTGTTTTCCCTGTTTTTAACTGTATATTCAATAAAATTTATAAAGAGAGAGAGAGAGAGAGAGAGAGAGAGAGAGGGAGGGAGGGAGGGAGAGAGAGAGAGAGAGGGGGGGGGGCTTATGGGGCTTGTGTTCCTCCTCTCTCCCCCGTGATATTTCATGGGCTGGGTGTTCCAGGCAGAAAAGAACATTGATTTTTTTTTTTAGACATGATCTCATAGGATCACATCTTTGGAAAAAGACCCCAGTCTCCCCCCCAGTCTGCCGCATCGAACATAACGAAGAGTCGTGTGACACTTTTAAAGGCTAATAAATGCACCGAGGCATCAGCTCCTGTGAACCTGTTTCCTAATTAACGTGCCAGTCATTAAGGTGACTCGAGATTCTTTCATCTCCCATCTTTGATGTTTTATTAATCCCCCGATTTCTCCCTGAAAATACTGTGCGGTTTTATAAAAGATGGATGGCGCACTGCAGTACTCTTCGCCGACCTTAGCCAATCTTGAGAAAAGTGAAGCAGGTTTGGATCAGGGTTGGATCTGGAGGGGGGACCACCAGGAGATCAGAGCTGTTGGTTAGTCAGTGAGCGTTAGTCAGTATACGTTAGATTTATGGCACCCTCGGAGGATCAGATCGGCGTGGGAAAGTAAACATTCAACTTAATAATAATAGAATAGAGCTGGAAGGGACCTTGGAGGTCTTCTAGTCCAGCCCCCTGCTCAGGTAGGAGAACCTATACCGTCTCAGACAGGTGAATGTCCAGTCTCTTCTTAAAAACCTCTAGTGATGGAGCGCCCATGATTCCTGGTGGCAAGCTGTTCCACGGGTTAATTGCCCTCACCGTCAGGAAGTTTCTCCTTAATTCTAGGTTGCTTCTCTCTTTGTTCAGTTTCCAGCCATGGTTTGTGTGTCCTTGTCTAACAACCTCACAAGGTTGTTGTGCAGACGAAGGAGCTGAGGAAGAGTTTGGGAAAGGCAACCTGTTGAAGATTAATACAGGGAGTGCTCGACTTACAGCAATTCATTTAGTGTCCGTTCAAAGTTACGACGGCCCGGAAAAAAAGCAACTTAGGGCCAATTTTGACACTTACGACCGTTGCAGCCTCCCTGTGGTCACGTGATTTATATTCGGATGCTTCGAACTCAAGACCAAAGCGCTGTATTCTGTTCTTAATCCCGAGTCCCCAGCTGGCTAAAGTTTGGAAGACAGATCAAGTCCGTCAAGACCTTGGAGTTCTCGTCCACAACTGGCTCAGGGTTCAACCGAATCTGCCCGAATCTCATGAGATTTGACACGTCTGGATAGATTTGGGCTCTTTTTGTTCTTTTTCAAAAGAATCTTAATTGGAGAGCTTCTTGGGGTGGGGGAGAGAGGGACTCACACATGCTTTGGGGGGGGGGGTCTTCCGATGCTACCTTCCCAGCTCCAAGCACACATACAAGGACAGAACAGGAATAACAGAGCTGGAAGGTACCTTTGGAGGTCATCTAGTCCAACCCACTGCTGGAGCAGGAGAGTCTATACCAGGGCTCTTCAAACTTGGCCCTTTGATGACTTGTGGACTTCAACTCCCAGAATTCCTCAGCCAGGCACGCGTGCCTGGCTGAGGAATTCTGGGAGTTGAAGTCCACAAGTCATCAAAGGGCCAAGTTTGAAGACCCCTAGTCTATACCATTCCAGACAAATGGTTGCCCAATGTCTTTTTGGAGGCCCTCCATGATGGAGCACTCACAATGGGAAGCCATTCCACTGGTTGATTTTTCTGACTGTCCGGATGTTTCTCCTTAGTTCTAGGTTGCTTCTCTCCTTGGTTAGTTTCCAACAAGTAGGGCCCCACGGAAGCCCAAAGACAATGTGGGCATCGTGAAAAGGACAAAGCACTTTGCAGCCCTGCATCAGTTCCAGCTGCTGGGCTGTGTGGATCAGTGGTGGCTGCTTTGGAATAGCTGGCTGG